ATATATATATATATATATATATATATATATATATATATATATATATATATATTTCTTCGAAACATTTTTCTTTTTCATTCCTTTTCTCTACGCATTATTCGGACTTTTACTTGGGAAATCTTTGAAGTTTAGAACGGGTAATTCCATAACATATCTGTCCCATCCGAAATTGGTAGAATCACACGAGGGAAGTATTGGTAAATCCCAGAATCAAAGTATCACGTGCTGCAAGGTTTTTGGAAGGAAAAAAGAACAAAGAGAGAAAGAGAATGATGCTAGTTAGGAAATAGCGAGACTTATATCGTATTTCAACTTTTTAAAGCAAAATCATTTTCATCCCACCCTAACGCTTTCAAGATTTAATTGGTATGTTACCATTCCTTTCTTTTTTTGATCTTGTTGAAGCGACTTATCTTTGGGCATTTTATTGTGATCAGTAAAACTAATTTCTGTGAGATACACAATAACAGTGATAATGCTTCAGCACTCATATTGATTATTTGTTATGTCCTATTAGTTGCTAGAATTGACAGCTTCAAATCTGTGTGCTGTGACGACACAACTAGTAATTTGTTACGAAAAATGCTTGGTAGTATTGATATGGTTATGGTTTTAGAGCTATTTCAATCACATTTACATGTTTGTACTGCTATCTTCATTTCTACTACTAATCAGATGACACTTGGACAGTAACTTTTCGATTACTTGACACTACTTGAGCTAATAGTCTTTGTAAATATCGTCCAGATCGAACTTTAGAATTATTGATATGTAATTTAGATATATCTAATTCAGAAAGCATTCAGCAAGAATTTTTGTCTCGCCATAACTGACAATCACAAAGTCCACCATTTCATGACAATTCCCTATAAATCTTCTAAGACCGTCGTGTACATGCCTTTCCAAATTTCCGGAAGCATAAATGGCCGAGTAAATGTGTCAGCCGATGATGATCACTGTTCAAAAGCACTCAATGACCAGTGACATGCTAAAAGCTTTTTTAAATTAAATTTCAATAGAAATTCTGAAATCAGAGGAAAGTTCATTCATTCACCAGTATTAGTTTTTATTTGCTTTGCTCTTCAGTAAGTCAGTAATTGATAATACAGTGTATACAGTCGATTTTACACATTTTAGTTTCCCACGTCACTTTTCCATTTCTCTCAATCTTGACCAAGTTGATTTTCACCGCTAGGCATTTGCAATTTCATTCATTTGGTGATCATTCCATCACTCGCGCTTCATCGCTTCAGTGACACCACTCGCGTTTCATCGTAGTCGTCGACGGATCCTGCAAAGCAGGTGACAGGGTTGCTTTTTTAAAATATCATGTGACCTCTCACACATATAATGCCTCATTGTTTTTACGATCTCAATAAATAATAACGACTATAAATATTATTTATACCGATAAGGGTATGTTCGTGAACCGGAGCGAGAACGAGAACGACGACGCGAACGAGAAAGGCGACGTGAACGAGAAAGGCGGCGAGATCGTGAACGACGACGAGACCTAAATTGGCGACGGCGACTACGTGAGCTTGAATGACGACGACGACGAATGTTTGAAGGGCGGTGACGTCGGAGACTGCGGATTGATCTTGATCTGTATGAGCTCCGACGTGATCTTGATCTATATGTTGGTCTGCGTCTTCTACTGGATAACAGCCTCCCCAAATCAAAACCCACTTGTGAACGTGAGCGTAAGCGTAGCCCTCGACGACGTCGCATGGATAATAAGGAAAGAGAAGCTACATTCCTACGTGAAGTACGAGAACGACTTCTGCCTCTTCGTGTACGTGATTGCGAACGTCGGTACGGCATCTATTGTCAATGACGCTATGTCCCTGGTGTATTGATTGTTCCAGTAAATCGCAACAATTTCTTCTCTCCCCAGTCAGTGTTCCATTTTAGACTGACCAACAGTAGGGGAAAGCGACTTAGGTATGAAATGAATGACATTGCTTAACACGCGCTATTTAAAGGCTTCCTAATGTCAAAAGAATGCAAATTAGACTTTTTTCTCTGCAGCTATTTAAATTTTGCTTAACTTTTTGTTATGCAAATCCGAATCATCCTACACAAATTTTTAATTTATATCAGATGGGCGCAACTTGTACGATATGCAAAACAGAATTCGATTATTTATCAGATTACTGTGTTCTAATGAAATGGTATAATGATATTTTCAAACATAAATCACACTTGCGTTTAATCGGAATGATAGTTTTTGAATCGGTTTAAAATAGTTTATCGCCAGAAGCGTCACTCTCCATTAATTGGTTTCTTGCAAATTTAAAATTTCACACATTCGTTTGAAATTCCTAATTCTATCAGATTATTCCGAGATTTTGAAAGGATACCTGGAATAATGCAATGCTATTCTTTCAATGCTTCTGCTACATCTTATTGGCTATATTATAGATATTATAGATTAAGTTTGCAAAAAATCAGATCGAAATGCTTTTCTTTAAGCGATTTGATAAGCTTATGAATTAGGAAAGGGGTACAGATTATCAGTTGAATTAAGAATTTTCGCTATACAGCAGCAACTTTTTGTTCACTTCTAATTAATAATGAAAGTAAGCATTGCAACTTAATCTAATCACATCTTTCTTGTCCTCTCTTCTTTTATGATCAATTTGAAGGACCTTGTGTCTTCCTTTAAGAATACTCCGGCGATAGCAGCGAACTTTAAATGATATTCAAAAAAGATATACGCTAGTTCAAGGTAAATGGTGATGATCTATATACTATGCACAACATGCTATCCCACAACTAAAGACGTCTTTCAGTCAAAGAAGTATCTTACGAGTCTGTTGCTTTTCCTACTTCTCTCCTCTCAAAGCCATTCTTGAGAAAAAAGCTTTTTTTTTCAGATTTATTCGGAAAAAAGTAAAGCTTGTTAACCAGCTATGAATGTTTCTTGATCACGTTCACGGACAATTTTCTCCATTTTTTTTCATTCCACTACGTCTTTTTAGTATTTCGGACGATACCTATTCTTAAGCTGCTCGAAATCATGTGTCCAATTCACTAAGCTAATAGATATGGCCAAATCTTACCTTTAAGCATGAAAGGTTCATTTCCATCGATACGTTCTCGACAGGAATTCTTTCTTCATTTTCTCCTGACACATTAACACATTTGCAAATCAACTCATAGCAGTCAGGAAAGAAAACGTTAAGCACAGCAAAGAACAAAAGTGCTAACAGATTTCAAATTCCGGCACTCTCTCCAAAAATCCTCTTTAACCGGGCCGATTATTTCCTTTACTATTCCTTCCGAATGGTGCGCAAATGACCGCAATATGCTAGCCCTGTAAACGACCTATCCTTTATTAGAAATGACATAATATTCATATGTGCACATAATTTGCATATCGGCACAAGCACAGGGCTAAATTAACAACTGAGAGGACGAAGAAAGAAGGTACAACGGACAACTTAATAGTGGCGATTCGAATTGAGACAGTGACTGGACAGTGAGATAGATGTACCACAAAAAGAGCTAATTAAGGGAATTTTGAAAGTCAAAAAAAAATCTCCAGCCATCTCACTCTGATCTCTCCTTCGGTATTCGGGATCTATACTTCATGTGATTCCTGGAGCAAGAAGAAATGTTGAAAAATGGTTTTTCTACAGATAACGGTGGTCATGACAGATCATGAATGCGAAAAATAGAAGTGATTATTTCCAAAAAATAATGAAGTGCAAAGTAAACATGAAATTAAAGCTTACATCCGTAGAAAGTTCGAGCCAAAATTTGCATTCTCATAGAAGAACATGCTTTTGTGAAATTTTGTCTGAAGATCCGAAAAGTTTTATGAAATTTATTAAAATATGTATCCAAGCAAGCAGTATGCTGGGCCTTTTATATTTCATATCCAAAAAAATTTCAGACAAATTTCAGCATATTTTATGGCATATTGTCATACTCAGATCATTTCCTCATGTAACTATCCTAAGGCTCATTTGATACGAATACAAGCCTTTGTTACTTGATCATTTAATCCAATTGTGAAACTGGTGATGACCTATGGTCACAACACTTTTTCTAACCAACCTCATAAGCTCGTCCACTTCACTCTCACTCATCGTTCGTTTCTTGTCTCGCTTTCTGCAAACATTGGAAGTAAAGTAATAAATCCACTACTCTAAAAACGTTCAATTTTTCATCACTCCACTCAGTTATTTTTAGAAAAAAGAGCAAATTCAGTCATTCATTTTTCTAGGCTTTCAACTATTCTTTCCTCAGTCAATCAGTTTAAGAAAGGAACATTTATAAATTACAGTTGAAAAAGTTTTTAAGCAAAACCTCAGCTTACTGGTCGAATCATTAACTGTGGATATTTCATGGGTCGTAGTTTCATCTAAGTCATTTGATTCATTAAGTAGTAGAGGAGGTGTACATGTTGGTACTAATACATAGTCCTGTGACTTGCCCTCTTCACTACAGCTTGTGTTCAATTCATTTGTTACACTTTTTCGTCGTAATTTCGATAATATTTTGCCTTAAATGAACCACATTTCATTATCAGCGAGCATGAGTATTACATAGTGTACCGGTCAATACGTTATTTGACAATTTTGAAATCATGAGATTAGTTTGGTACCGGATACGTTTTATTAGTAATTGCCAAATAATTAATAGTAATAAGTAATAATAATAAATAATAATAATAATGGTAATAATAATAATAAACAATGATAATAATAATAATAGTAATAGTAGTAATAATATAGATAATTGCATGAAGATAATGTGAGAAGTATAAAGATATTTATTTATCAGGTAATTAAACCTACCGTCATCGAGAATGACCAATGATGAAGCAGCCAAACCACACATTTTCTGCGTGTAACCCTCATTTAAATTCCGCCAAACATAAGTGCACATCATCATTCTCAACTTTCCAGGTTTTCTTTTTTGGCGAAATAAGCCAAACTTCGATCACAACGTTCCACATCTTTCTGATTTGGTGCAGATTGGCACTGAATTTTGGCATTAGATCCCCCTAAAATATGCCGTAAAAACTATTCTTTCGAAAAGCAACGCATCTTATGGAGAGACTGCATTTGAAAAGGTTAACTACAAAGATCATGTCATTAAAAGTGTTATCATATCAATGATGTAAGTCTACCTCTTCATTATCCTTCTGACCTCTCGGTTCGCTACTTCCTTCGAATACTTCATTGCTCAAGGATGATACGTTGAATTCAGCGGGCTAGAAATACATATTCTTACATTGGAATTAATTTCATGCAAATTAAAATTCCAACTTTGTATTCTTAACTTCCTCTCGGTAATGTTATAATAGCTTTATTACCTTATGTTTATGATCGGATGGTTTTGTAAAATAGATTTTTACATTCGGGATATGCATTTTCTGTTTCTAAGCAAAGTATACGTAAAATTTAAGACTTGATTATAAATTTAATATTAACATGGGGAAGATTGAATCCAGCTGATCTATACAGGCATCAATGTAAAATAGAAACGGACGGGTATTTTTGCTGTATTTTAAAGGTACTGATCAGCTTAGAGGCTACTCTTGGGTAATAATGCCTATATAGGAAGAAGTGTTTGAATAAGATTATCAGAGTCAGTTTTGGACTGTTTTCATAAAGAGTTTTTTATGAATTGAAACTTGACCATTCGAAGAAAATAATCTAGTTTTTTCGAATAAACATTTGCTAAGTTCAAATTGCCGCTTCTCGCAAACTTCACTGGAACGATGTCAACGTATCTTTCTTCTCATTACACGACAATGAAATGCGTTACTGTGCGCCCGAGGTTGGTCTATCGTACTTGTGGATATTAGTTATTTCATGTTCTGCATCTATCCACTACCCGGAGCCTACTCACGTCAAGCATCCGGCATCTCCTACTATCATGTCTTCATCCATAGTTCAATTGTGCTCAGTTGGTATGTAGCGCTCTAGTAGTTTTTTTTCGTATCCTGGATGAACTGCATTTCTCAGTCTCTTTACTATTTTATTCCTCATATCTGCGCTTGTTCAAAGCAATTCTATCTCCATTTTCATTTCTCCTCTTTACGTTACGTGTTATGTGATTTTGGCGTACTTAAAACCAGGAATATACATTCGTTCCGATGGATTTGTTTGCTCCTCGAGAGGGGACAGATAGTACTGTGTCACTTGCTGTTTGTTGCAGCTGATCAACCCTTTCTTGGTGCTACGTCAACTCCATTGATTCATCTCTCTTCAAGAGTTATTCAACGCTCAATGAAAAGGACAGCGTTTGTCATATTTATCACTCTTACTATGAGAAGGGTGGAACACAACTTTTCTTCTAATACCGCACCTTTTTCCATTGCTCAAATGAAAGCTAGTGATAAAATTGCTAGGAATGCTGTACGTAATTCTTCGAACAGAGATCGAGCATGGAGCTGCTAGTCTGTAAGAAGGAGTTAGATCGATATGGTGACCATTTTGGACTGAAAGCTCGAAGCTTGGGGGTTTTATCTTTTGTTGGATGAAAACTTTTGCAGTTAAACGGGAGAAGATATATTTAACATATGCGACACTATATCTATTTGCCTACATTTTAGTTATTTTCAGTTTATTTTCCAAAATTTGTTTGAAAAACTTTTCTTATTCCGTGCTGAAGAAATTGACATTTCCCGCATTTCCGGAATGTAGTTATTTTAGTATCAAAGGCGTTAAGGCGGCTTGTTGAGCTATGATTCATTATTCGATAACATTTTCTATTTTACGAAATATTTCAGCATTCGTTCAGTAAGGAACGGTACTGTATTGCAGAGTCAGTGACGACATGATCGTGAAAGAATAGTAAGCTTCATTTCAGTTGTTCAACTTTTAGTTGTTTTATATATTATTTCATTAACAATTTCAGTTATAATCAGAAAATTGTGTAAAGCCGTATGCAAAGTAGAAATAGAATTGTTCTAAAACGAGCTCATAAACACTGGGAACTTTTGTACTCGAACAGCTAAATTATCAGTAAAAAAATATCATTTTCAAAGTTCACCTAAATTATGCAGAAAAAGTTTTTGTCCTTTTTCTAGTCGGTTAGTTCTGCCGATGACGGTTGAGGAGTACCAAGTTGGTCAACTTTGGTCCGTTGCCGAAGCGTCAAAAGCTGAAACAGGTGGCGGTGAAGGTGTTGAAATTCTAAAGAATGAACCATTCAAAAATTATCCCTTGCTTGATGGACGCTACTCGTGTGGTCAATACACGCATAAAATATATCATTTGCAAACGTGAATTTTCCTTTTGCTTCGATAAATGCCACTCAGATCCGAATTGAACAGAAGCTCTTAGTGATGCCTTTGCTCTGAGTATGAAAACCCCATCCTGATAAATTTCAGTTTTTCGCATTCTTTTTTATAAGATAGGGGAGTGTAACGAATGATCTTATGCCGTTTGATTGATTCAGATTCTATTTATTCCATAAGTTTCGTATTTCACACCATTAATTTTTAGAAAAGTGCCGACGATAGTGCGAACTTGTGCACCCAAAGGTTCTCTAGCGATACACGAAGAAGCGTGGAATGCTTATCCTTACTGTAAAACAGTTCTCACGGTCTGTTAAAGCAGTTTAGCATATTTTCGGGAATTTAGATATGTCTAGCTATTCTAACTTCCAAGGATCCTTATAAATGCGATTTTCCCCTAAGAGCGGTGCATTGAGTTATGGTTGACATTTATCAGAATATAACTTTACAATGTATTGTTGTTGAAAGATGGTGCTTGCCTGCTAGCGTAGGAGATATTCGATTTGATAATATGCTACTTTTGTGTTGCTTTTTTGTATATTTAATTACTATTTTACAATCTTCTGGCTGTGTCATTTTTGAGGAAGTAAGAGCAAGCAGATTTTGTTCTTATTCGAAGTTTCAAGCTCTTTAGGTAATCAAGGATTCTGATTCAGAGATGGTTCGTTCATAGTATACTTTTGGTATACTGGTTTAATAACTTGCATTTTCAGAAATCATGAAATATAATGTTGCAGAATCCTGATTATATGAGAGATGATTTTTTCATCCATATCGAAACAATTCATTTGCCGGATCGAGGAACCACACAAAATGCACATAATTTAAGTCCAGAAGATCTTGCTAAGCGTGAAGTGATTGATCTTGACATCGCTAATGACACTTCACATTTGACTGCTAACGTAAGTATGGTTCTAATTTGTGCAAATTATTTGATTTCTGATTTGTTCATAATAATGACATGAAGATAATTCTTGTCTTTCATCCTTATATAAAAAGCTTGAACTAGTGCATCTTTCGGTTTTGCTGCACTCGCTATGTCAGTTTACACACTTCGATTTCTGTCATCCATATCACTTTTGTCCGGAAGACAGTGAAGATCGATTTTTTCTGTTAGTGTTCTTTCCCTAAGCCTATAGATGCCACTGTTTTGTCTTATTGATTTTTGCAATAATTTTGCTAAATTAGCCTACATAATGGGTATGCTTTCGAAATGAATATATTCAAAGGAATTGCAGGATATCAGACTGGAAACAACACCATCCAAATTCAAAAGCCTGAAGACAGGACGTGGTCCTCTAGTAGGGAATTGGAAAGAAACAATGGAACCGGTGATGTGCGCTTATAAACTGGTAAAGGTGCACTTTAAATGGTTTGGTCTTACGAAAATAGTCGAGAATTACGCACATCGTGTAAGTTCCCTGTTTCCTTATAAATTGTTATGAGATATTTTTAAATTTTAACTATGATTCAGTCGCAAATAGAATTTTTGTCATTCTAATAGTTCCTTTAGTTATTTTTGTTGTTAAAACCGTCTTTTCTTGCTAGTGTTGAATTTTTGATTGTGAACACTTCAAGCATATTTTAAGCAGTATCCGCGACTATTTACAAAGTTCCACCGTGAAGTGTTCTGCTGGCTGGATAACTGGTATGGTTTAACAATGGCCGATATTCGCGAAATCGAGGATAAAGCTCAAAAGGAATTAGAAGAGGTAAATTGAAAGAATAGGATTTTGAAATTACATCTGTTAAGCGTTTTATTTTTGTTGTTATTTTCTCTAATGAGAAACAATTTTGATTGCTTGGGGTAAGTTCAATTTTTTATTGCATTAATTGTAAAAAAACTGTCACCTCCGTTTTCAATTTCTGATTGTATCCTTTTATGACATCCAATTTCCATTATATGCTAGCAGTGTGTATAAACATCCACAAATAGCGTTTTGTTAAAAAAATTTCTCTCGCGTACAGCAAAGTTCTATATATTATAGAAGCAGCCAATGAAGGAAATATTGGGATTGCAGTAACGATTGTTTAATATTATTCATATGACATTAAACAACCTAATTCTGCATTAAGTTCATTCCAAAGATTATATATTATTTTCAGGCCAGAATAAGCGGACCTGTACGCGGCATGATGCCATAGAAATTTAAATTGATGTCAGCAAATCGATACTTCTCCAATCAATTAACTTTTACTTGCAACATTTAGTCGCTGTGAAGTCGTTAGTATTTATTTTAGTCCTTAATTTTAGAAATGTTGGAAGTGCATTTTGTAAGCCGAAAATTACTGTTGATGATGCCAACGTGATATAGGAAAATTTTCATAAATTAAATTGTTAATTCATAACAGTATTTAAACTTTAACAGCATAACTCTTAAAAGAGTTATGATCCTTTAAGAATTATGCTGTTGAATTTGACTCTAAAGAGGGTCGCTTTACAATTAAATTCATCTCTTTTAACATCACTTCATGCATCGCATGTTTAAATTTTCTCATGTTTGAATTTCAGCACATTGTTTTGTTCGTCTTTAAATTTGAATGAAGTTTTCTGGAAAGCACAGTATGTTGTCACAAAAAAAAAAAATTTGTTTATACGTTGAACTGATTTGTTAAGTGGTGTCTGTGATCTCATACTCCGTGTTCATCATTTTTAGCAGTATTTAACTGCCTATTTGGAAAGAGCAAAAACGCGATTAACGGGTATCTGTCAATTCTTTAGGAATTGTCAGATTACATTGGAGGTAATGTTCTGACCTGTATTCTGTGAATATCGTATTTAATTTTCTCTGCCTCTTAATGAAATTTCGAAGGGGTTTTTTTTTTCGAAGAAACTTCACCAGAAATGCTTGGAACTTTCGGACATTGTAATCGCAAGGAAGAGGTTACTGTTACCAACACTAAACTTAAAAGACAATCTCACTTAATTTTACCAGAAACACTGTTTGAAGATATGAATTAACTTTTTGCACACTACTTTATGTTTTGTCAGTTCTGATCTTATTTGTGATTTGCTCCCTACGGTTATTATTTATTTATTGTAGATGCAGAAATTTTAATCAGGAAGAGTATTCTATCAACAAATCTTTTAAAGTTTTTCTTCCAGACATACTAAGCATGGCAAGACGGGGACATTTTGATTTTGTACATTTCTGTTGTCCATTACTCAAATTAGCTATCGGTTAAAAATAACGATGGAAGAGCGCAGGAAATTTTTTGATTTACAAATCTTAGTATTTCAACGGGATTTGATGATAGAATATCTTCCCACTGTTGTGAGCCAAAGAAATGTTTCAATGACTTGGATCGTATGAATTGGGATCATATTTGTTGGGCTGAGTAACTAGTTAATTGCTTATTAAATCACTGAATCATTTGCTCTATTGAGTGACAAAATCTTTAAACGATCCAATCATGTTCGCTCTTTTTTATTTCTAAAATGGTCTACGTTCTTGTTTTACAAGATGTTTTTTACTAATGTTTTTTTAATAGTGGGTTTTAGCCAATATATAATATCTTTCATACTGGTTCCTTACATTTCATGTTTTATGGTGCAGTGTAAATGTTATCATTGATCATTAACAGCTCTGAAGATATCTAGAAGATTCTTGTTTACGATGGAATATGTAACTTCCTCTTAGCCTCAGTTATAAAGCCAATTAAACTTCTTTCCTTGACTAGATTTAGTTTTAATAGTGTTATATTGAAGAAGAGAAAAGCGAAGTGTTGTCATAATGTATCATTTTGGTAATAATCTCGAGACACAAGAAATATCTGTAATTGTATTCGTCTTACGTGCTAGTTCTTCCGCATATTTTTTTGCAATGGTGGGTGGGTTAATATTTGAAAGGTTAATTTTTTGAAATTTGAGAGGTTAATATTACACGTGGCTTTCAACCTGTTTTTCTCGCAGCGACAAATCCAGTGTTATATAAATGTGATTATCAAAACTGACTTCTTGATTTGATTTTTCGATTTGATTATCAAAACAATTTACTTGTGTGTATTTGGCCAAAGGCGAATAGAATGTAGCAAATTTGCATGTTGAAAAATTTAACCGAATCCAACCTGAAACTTGTGATGTTCTCATCTTGTTGATGTTCTTTTCTGTTATACTGAATGAACACTTCTAATAAAGCGGCAGTGGAAAACATTTGCTGTTTGTTATACAGCGCTTGTCGTTGTTTTTCTGAGAATTTTGACAGTTTAAAAATTTTCAAAAACTCAACGTTGTAAATCTACTATGAATTGTTGTGGAGTAGTCTTGTCGTTGGATTTGTATAAGCTGTTTTGTATTCGAGAAATAGATGAGGCTAGTAAGGCTGATTATCATTTTTTTTTTTGTTTGAAAAAAAGGGTGAGGTTAATCGTCTTTTCTTCATTGTGAAATCTAGGAACTGTGCGGAATGGCAACAGGATGACTTCGGATTCGCGAGATCAACATTTTCGAGACTCATTCTTATGGCAAATTGTGAGGAGTAATATGTTTCGCATTTAAAAATCAACAAAATTCTGATGGAAGCAGATGTGGATGCTGAATTGCTTAAAACTTGCTGGGCACCTCTAGGCTTTAGATTGGCTGGTCAACATTGTGCCGCCAAATTCCATGTCAAGGTATTTTTCAATTTTCATCTTATCACTGCATTCATTCATTCATGACAAGGGATTCGTATCATGTATTCATTTCTATTTTGTTCTCAGTAGTTCCGAAGATGCGGATGCCCCTTTACCTATTAGATTTTTAAATATAAAGGAATATGTGGGTTGTTTAATGAAGCCACTTGCTGCGTTTAATTACCTGCTTAGTAAGTCCAACACCATGAAATTACTGGTTAACAGATGTAAAGGTAACATTTCACAGACCAACGATATAGGTTACTGTTTGTTGGACTTATTTCAAGAAGAGTTTGATGCAGTCATAAGCGAACCTAGTTGTAACTTGCGCAGCAAGTTTTTGTAGTTTTTAGCTAGTTTCTCGGGACAAAAATCTAGTTTCAAGTGATTAATGTTTTTTCCATTGCTTGTTTCGTTTCAGGAAAGCAATCTTAAGACGAAGTAACTGCCTTACTTTAATTTACCATTTTAGGCTGGGCACTTGCACACAATGCTGACTGATTACGAGAACATATACTATGAAATTGCTGATTTCACGAAAAAATTTTCGTCGCTGAATGCCAAATTAGGTGGCCCAGAAAAGATATTGTTAGAAAAAGTTCGCAATATGTTCATGTCGTCGACAGCGAAAGTGTCGAATGAAAATAAGAATGATACTACGCTGGAATTTGATCTTGAAATTGTTGCTGGGAAACGAGCTCTGAAATGGCATTTTTTCGGACAGCATTTGGGTTCTATGACTTATGTAAGTTTTCCTGCTTTATGAGACATATATCATACCTCCCAATGCTATTTCATGGTTTCAACACCGTACTACTCTCAGGTTTATGAAGAGATGAGAAATCTTTTTTAATTAAACATATTTCTTTATAAAGCCGGACTATAAGGTTTTCACCGAATCGAATATCTTTGTGATAGCTCTGAGGCTGATTACCTCTGAGTAACCGCTTGTCTCCTAAAGGTTCTTACCATCTAAGTAGTGGGAAAAATTCTTTTGATTTCCAATCTATTTTCAAATTTATTTTTTTCAAAACTATTTTATTTTCAAATCAAAATTCGCTTTTCTTGATTACGCACTGAATTTTAGATCTTTTCGCACATAACCCGGCCGCTGTTAAATATTCTATCAGTTGTTGTTGGTGAATGTGACTTGAGTTCAGTTAAGGGTTAGTTCTAATTTATTCCCATTAATATTTCTCTCGACTTCACTTTCAAAGGTAAGTTTTATGGGAGTAAAAGAGATTTCTTTAGTTCCTGTATCCGGCAGCAGCTTTAGTGGTCTCTTTGGGAAACCTTCTGTGCAGAAACTCTATGAAATTGTGGCTACAGAAGCTATGGTAGTGAAAAGCATTGGCAGTACTTGTCGTGATGATGAAAATCACGAAGATATAAACACAGGCATTGATGGCAGTAACCATGTTGGCAAAAATGGTGATTCCCTTTCCGCAACACCACCTTCCACTTCGATTTATGAGGTAGTGAGTGATATAGACCAGGACAAGTTTAGGGAAATTCGACTAATGCATACATCGCCTCAAAAAAAGCCAAAATTGAGATTTTGAACTCAAAACCTGCTAATCAAATGTAAGTAGGATATTTTGCCATCTTCATATCGTTATATCATTTTATTACTAACCGTACTTGCAATACAAAGATTGATATAAAAATCTTTTAGAATAAGTTTGTGCAAGATTTACAATTGTATTTCATTATTTTATTTGTTTGTCGTTGTTTATATAGCAAATTTCCAAAATTATGACTTTCAACTGCATTTGTAAACAGTACTGTTGCACCTCTATCTTTTTATATACTTTTGCATTGTATCTAATACTTGATACTTTGCTTCCTGGGGCAGTTATCGGAAAATAGAAAGTTATACTCAGATCTGGTCGGTATTTGCGGTATTTCAAGAGCTAATAACAGTTTTATAAACGCTTATATAATTTAAGCTATTTTATGTGTTGAAGTCTATCCATTGTGTGAAGTCCTGTAATCAGTTTGTGCAAATCTTCATAATTGTGTATGCTCTTAACTGTTTATATTAACACTTCTGCTTTATTCTGGGCATCTTTTCCTTTTCCTTTCCAAACAGAATGAGGCTCTAACTGATTCAAATTTCGAGGAACTTTTGAACAGTTCATAAAAATGCACACAAAATAAGCGATACGTAAAAAGAGCCGGTGAAGTCGGAGAATTCCTTCGGTACGGAAATAAATGGATAAAAAATCTGATGGACTGCCGTCGTCATATGATCATTTCGAGTTGCTTCGAGTAAAAAATGGCTTGTTTAGCAATCCTTTTAGTATCTACCCGTAGCTCGACGGGCTGAAATCACGCGCGTTATAAGGCTGGGTCAAGCTTTGCAAAGTATACGAAAATTAAATATAACTTACGGCTTGCTGTACGTGATCAAATACATACGTGACATTGAGATCACACGTACTGGTTTCCCAACCACGCTATAATGGAAGGATGATAACTACTCCAGGAATTACAACAAGCAAAAAAAGAAGCAAAATATGCTAGGAAAAAGTAATCGAACATATTTCTTTAATGAATAATAATTAGGATTTGCGCAATGCTCGGGTACATTCTCATAAACATAAAGGTTTTTCCTTTTTCCTTTGTGTCCTATGAACTTTTTTAACGATTGTAATAAGCTTGAAAATCTGATTCGTAATGGTATGTGACAACACAACAAGCGTTGACTAATATGGATTATTAAGTGACGACGAGTCGTTAGTGTCTGATCATCAAATGAGCCTCACGATTAAGGTCATAACTTTTTCAACAGAATGGGAAATTCCATTTTTTTTTCAACGGAATTGCTATGTGTGAGCTGATTCTGCGCTATAATGATATTTAAAAAATCGTAGAATGTAAAACCAATAACAAAAGAGGGTCCAAGCTTCGTAAAAGATTTATGATTGTAAGGAAAACGTGTCGTACTTATCGAGGGATATGAGAATCTCCACAGTCAATGGAAGACAGCTTTGCAATTCAGATTTCTAATTTAACTCAAAAACTGTTCTGCCCGCTTTGTAGACTTACTAAGGCGTATTCCCAGTTTTTGATATAGACCTTAATGTAATGAAGATGGCTGACTTCTAATTTGAACCAGTTTAGATCATGAGATTCTCTATCTCTGTATGTTATTGGCCCTTGCCCGATTGCTGATGGGTCATCAGTCTTTTACATTCTTGAAAAATTACTTCAAATTAGTACCATAAAAATAAATTACCGATGATTTTCAAATCTGTAAACATAAATTACCGACGATTATTAACGATCTACATATATTTTAGAATTCCAATTCTTTTCAGATAATGAAATTCGAGTACCGCTGTCGGGAAAAAGTAACCTTTTCCGCGAAAGATACCATTTCGTTGACATCACTAAACAGAAGTAGTCGTGCGGCATCTCGTTGCGATATTTTTATAAATGCACGCTCCATACATAAAGCTATTTCATCCCTATAACTGGTTCTATCTGGTCATGCTTCCGGATCCTTCTGGATAAGAGGAAAACTCACCGTACTGTACCCATTGATATACGTATGAATAATGCGTAGTAAGGGCTGGGAATATCCTTTTCCGTTAGCATTATCTGTAATGATTTAGAGCCAAGCTTTAGATACAGTTGCGACAATTGAAATAAAAGGTCAAACTTACTTAATGAGCCCATAAAAACCCTGTGTTAATCTCTTTACTTTGGACTACTCAAAACGTTTGGTTCATTTAAGAAAACGTATACCTTATGATAAGCACCTTCAATAAGCGATTGTTCCAGTTTTATGGGTATCTTAATATACGGATTCTTCTGCTGGATATCTCGATCGACCTGTTCCAGTAACTACAACATTCCACTTGAAGTTTACGATTTGCAATAAAAACTGTTTTGCTTCAAGCTCTACAGATAGTTTCGATGAAACTTTTGTAATTCTCGAAGCAATCATTCATATCGGGTTAAAAAAATTACGACAATTAAATGCCAGGACTTAATTAGATTTCTATTAATATATGATATTGGGAGGCAATCTTATTGATCGACTTTAAAGGCATTTCTCGTCTTCCTGAAGAGTTAGTACAATCAGGTTTCAGCTACTAATATCAAGATACCATGTGGAATTGAGCGTGTTGATTGGTAGCCAAAAGGAACATAAGATCTAAGCCGATCATTAACCATTTATTTGGCCATTCTTCGCTCGAGCTGAAGTTTAAATATTAAATCGGCATTAAAATAATAAAGCAATAATTTATTTTTAACAGATCTTCATGTTTACCCATATGAATTGTAGAAATTGACGAGAACAGCTATAGCTTCACGGAATGAGTTCAGATCAGACCGGAGGATCGCACACAAAGCATCTATCTCGAAAACATCTCCTGTAATCTAATTTAGGAGAAAATGAAAGACTGAATTGAAAGGCTGTAAAATAAATTCAGGACCAAACTTGTGAGATAAAGCATCAACAAATTTGCACTTCATTACTTTTAAGGACACTAAAGTAAGACTTACGATGAATCATAAGTAACGCTTGATGGCTGAGACCACGCAAAGCGTTTCTATTATTCATCAATCCCTGAAAAACAGTTAACGACATCTCAGGAACATCTCAACCTTTCAATGGAACCTTTGAATAGAATCAGCCTAGTCTAATTATCGTTGCAGACAGGGTGTCCGACGCTTTCAATAAACAACTTTCGACAATTGTCACAGAGCTAAGTGTACATGTGTTGGTTTGTCCCACGTTTTCGAACACCACACATTAACGCATGATTGCAGGACAAGCCATAATACCTCACGTGGTCGTACCACGGATCGTTGATGTTAGCTTCTGGACAAATATTTATGGAACGTAGATAATGTAAGAACACACCTTGATCCGTTTCAGTTTGACTCCAACTGCTTCAAGATTTCTCGGTTTCTTATTCCACTCTATCACGAGCTTCCTGCATTCAACTTCCATCTGTATTCAAATTATCATTTATTATTTGTGATAACTTGTTATTTGTAATACTCGATGGAATTTCTCTCGCTTCAAGTACCACTTCTTTTCACTATCACACTTATTTAGTGCCGACAGAGATGTGCAAAACATCATACTTTGGCACTCTTCAGCACTATTTCCAGTTGCGAAAGATCTCGTTTCGATTCTTTTCTCCATTCGTCCAACAGTCGCTGATGTACAGTATCCAATCCTGCCATTCAATATTCGATAACGAAAATTCGTTCTTGATCTAAGAACAAAACTGAATGATACATGCAAGAACACAGTCGCATTTCTTATTTTCGATCTTTGATGCTATATTTCCCATCGTCCAATTTTTCAACTGATAATTTAAGACCAAATTAAAAAAAAAAAGTGGAAAATTGGAAAATCCTGTGAACGACCACCATATGTGACACTCAATGACAATGACTGGTGAATTGTTGTGGAAGTAAATAAACATCGATTGGTGACAAATAAACATTGTTCAGAATGTGCCACACCATGTCCTTATACTCATCCCCTTTTCCATTTATGTCTACGTTAATACATCTGTTAATATGTCTGCACATTGACATTGATACTCCTAATTAGTGCGTATCTGTGTGTGTGTGTCTGTGTGTTTATGTGTGCACGTATGCCTGTATCTGTGTTCGTGTCTGTGCGTGTCTGCGTGTGCACGTATACCTGTGTCTGTGTGTGTGTATGTATGTATGTATGTATGTGTATGTGTATGAGACATTTGCCTCTGTTAATATGTTCTGCAAAAGGAAAGAGTGTGGAAATAAATAAAAAACAACTGATAAGGAGAGAAGCACACTGGAGTAGATTAAGACTGCTGTTTATGTTCCATTGGACTGGGTCTGATTCCACTTGGAAGTGGACCATCAGTCGGCCCTAGCAGCCGACATTCCCTCTTGGCCATAGTTTTATTGCATCATTTTGCTTACCAGTGAAAGTAAAGTAAAATTAGTACAGAAATAAGCTTTGTTATCCAAAATTGCTTAACGTGGTATATGATAGAAGAGTACCGAGAGGAAGAGGCGTAAAATTAACCGATTTTAACCTTTACCTCGGTTTCATACTTCGAGGAATGACTTTACTTAAATTACTTTAGGAATGACTTAAAAGCAGTGTGTTAATCTTGCTCAGCCTTTTCTTTCTAGTCTTAACTACTTTCAAGAGCCTATAAGCATCAATCATCTTGTACTAAGTGTCCAAATAGTCATTCATTCTTTGGCACAAACAACAGCTACGAGCTAATTATTTTGTGGCTTAGCCAAAATTTGACAAGTTTATTAGAGAGCAAGACTGGCTGTTTTGTACGTTTCCTTTCTTCAGTGAATAACTGATGCTGAAAGAATCACTTCAAAAAAGAATTAGTGTTGTGAATTGTGCTTTGCATCTGATATGCAAAGCACAATTCACTCACCACGTGAAACCACTGATATGGTTTCATCCCTCCAACCTATCAGATTTTCGGTCGTGCGCTATTCCCTCTTGAAAATCACATCAAACTCAGAGTTGGATTTTGAGCAATTTCTGCTTCACCCATCCTTACTGCTGCTCTTCATTGCTAATAATGTGAGGCGGAAGAAGTAAAGGAGCTGTTAATTACGAATGTAAGGATGGAATTTCTTGCTTGGTGTCGAGGAACATTACTCATTAATCATGGACGATAAATTGCTGAGTACCTTTCTTCAAGTACCTCTCAAACGAGTATTTCTTAACTTTCACCGACCTGTTTCATCTCTTTCTACTGTTAGGTCTCTAGCAGCCATGCCTACAGGCATTCGATCTTCAAAAGTTACGCAATCCCACTGGAGATTTTTGAGATTTCAGATGCTTCTAAAAAGAATAAATCGATAATCGTTGGCGAGTTGACAATCTGTATCGGTAACAGTTCACTCCATTCTTCTACTTTATCTATTGTCTTGTCAAGTTTGTGTTAACAGGCCAGTTTGGCACCGTATTTCATTCCAGCTTTCTTGTTATGAATATTTCATGGAGAAGGAAATGAATGTTTTTTTTTTCAGTTTAATCCTTTCTGCATATTACTCCTCACTCATTTGCATCAGTGATATTGTCTGAAATGCTTCATTTAATTATTTCAGATTTTGTTTGGGGTATAGTCAATAGACAGTGCTTTGAAATTATAAATTATTGGCTTAACTGAATGTTTTGCTTTCACTTACCATTAATTATTGCTAGCCCTTCTTCCTCTAGCAATAGTAATAGAATGGGAGAAATGGTTGACAATCAACGAGTGAGCAACTGTTTTGTGAAACATATGACGGGATCACCTACAGAAGTTACACATGCCTTTCCTCATAGCTTCATTCCCTCTGTCCACTCATGCAATATCATCAGTTAATTCCGCAATGTTCCATCTCATATCATCCATCGGTTCTTTTCCTGATTTTAATATTACGTCAACATGCTGTAACCTCCGTGCATCTCACGTGGCTTTACAAGCGGAATTACGAAATACTAAAATTTGGACATTTCCTATTTAACTTCGAAAATCTTTGCTAATATTTGGATCTTGCTTTTGTTATCAAATTGCTCACACTATGATAACATGGATGTACTGATATACTTTTTTAAGATTTGAATATTTCAGATGGCATTACGACTCCTTTAAGAATTCTTGAGCAACTTATCAACGATTTGTGGTATAAAATTGGATGAACTTGTCTGCAACAAATATGCCATCTACACTTTGTGCACAACCGCAAAAAGGTTTCGTTTTAACTAAAATGTCCCTTTTTTTGATTAGTTCGTTAAGCTTTTTACTCATTTTATAAGGAATGTGAAATCGATTGAATTGTCATTAACGGCAAATGTAATATGATGGTATGCATCGTCCTTTTTAGGTAGATGTACTTGGAACATTTTAAGTAGATGTACTTGGAAGTTAGATCAACTTCGGCTTCTTAGCGATCCTCGACCAATCTTTTTTAACTACTTTTTGGGTTCAATCTTTGGAATTTTTGAATGAAGGTAATTGCTGATCTGATCGATCTGAGTCAGTAATGATACTCTCTTTGTAAATATATAACCTGAAATTTTCATACACATGTTATTAAGCAGAAAGGAATGATTTTATTGTATTATTATTTTATTTGAATTAAATGATTTGTTCATATCAATTAATCTGTTAGTGATCCAGTCTTAAATACTAAGAATTTGATAATTGCAAAGTTTGCAGTATCGAAACTAGAATTGTTGCCCGAAGAAAGAACAACTAATATAGCCATTGATATCTCGAAATGTGTCACAGAAATGCAGTGTTTCGATCAAGATGCCGAAGAAACAACTGCGCAAGTATTGACAAAATTTATTTCGGTGAGTAGTTTATTTTTTACTATAAAATTTATTCCGGTAACCACTTGGATTAAGAGTGTTTCAAAATGTTGCACATACTGAGATATTTAAGTGAACTTGATCATCTAAAAACCGGAGATATGCTGCAGGCGGGTAGATCAATTCCCACAAATGTGTGCTAACTTTCTGACTGAAATTGATATATAATTACTTGCGAAGTTTCAGAATCCATCCATTTCTTTACGTATAGATCATATTGCTACCTAAGTACCAATTCGAAAGATACTTTACCGGCTGAAGTATCAAAGATCACTTGTGGATCAGTTTTCCCGTAGATAGCAAAGTGAAGTTGAATACTCTTTTATTTTTATGTGCAGTCGTTTCATCAATAATTGTACAATGAAATATCAATAATTGTACAATGTAATTATAATACATACCGAATTGCCTTCCGTCAGAATTTGAGTAATTTACAATATGACAAATCAAAGCAATGCTTATTTGCGGTTACGCATGAAATGCCTTAGAATTCCTACAATTCGCAAAAAATAGTGAAAATCAAATTCATGACTCGCAAACATAACTGTGCATTCGTCCATTTAAATGTCCATCAGTGAAATCTAAGACACTTTTTAGAATTCGTCGGGGACTAAATTAAAAAGAAATTAGGTGTTTGTTGCTTGTATTGTTTTGAAGACTACTTCGAAGTTTTCTACCATTAATTGCAAATATCCAGAATGTTTGGGAAAAAGTTAATTGAAGGTATTTCAACAGTTCGAAATTACTGTGCAAAAAAGATATTCTAAACATTAACTAGTGTTTTTCCTGACCTTACGTTATTATCCATCCATATGAGCTTATTGTAGCAAATAGTGATAGCTGCTGCTTGCGTCTTGATTTTCGAAAGCTCGGAAACAATTGAAATATCTTTTTAAAAGTGATATATGGTTAATTTGTGGCTCCATTTTTCCATGTGAAAATCAAAAAGTGTAGCTAAAGTAAAACAAGCCTTCCAACGAGTAATTAACGAAAAGAGATTGGAATCAGCAATTAATAAGCATATGAGTTTAAGGCATGCAAGTATATGATTAAGCATATGTATGGCTTCTTAATTGATATATTTAAAATCTTATATCACTTCGATTTCCGTTTGCTTGTCCGTCGATTCTTGTGGTCATGCCGTTATTTTTGTAAAATTTTAGTGTAAACTCGACTTGAAAACTTTATGACGTTTAAGGTAACAACGACGGATGTCAAAACATATCATATTCATGGTGTTCAAATAAAGTGAAAAAATACCACATCTAGTGGTCTCTAGAACAGGTTGTAGAACATCTAAGCCGTGTGTAATATCAGAGTATATGAAATGAACTGAAAAAGAAAAAGTACAAAAAGTACATGAAAAAGTACAGCGATGTTAACGGTGTAGCCTTTTACGATTACCGCAGTGGTAATTTCTGGTCAGATTTCATTAATTTTAGAAAGACGAACTCGGTGAAATTGGAATTTTGATTAATGAAATCTGTGCGCATCGTATAACCGCAGCGATTCAGGAACGAGATGATATGTGGCGTCAGCATGAATCTGCTCAAATCTCTTTTTTGCAAAACGAGAACTCCCAAATGTTGACTGGATTACACGCTGAAATTGAAAGACTTCATCACCATTTGAGAGGTAATGACAACTGAAATTCTAAACGCGAAATATTAAAAAATCAATTTGACCATTAAGTTCATGAAGATTTTTCTGGAGATTTGTAATTCGGTTCGTTCTCTTTCTTCAGTATAAAACTTTAACTACTTCATAATTTTCTCTGTTTAATTGTTGACCTCATTACAAAGCTATGTAAACCAGCTTGATGGGGAATGAAACGTCCGGTGTTTTTTTAGTACTGAAGCTTGTCTGGGAAATATCGTGGTTTTCTTATTTTATCACAGCGGTATGTGTCACCACTTCTCAATAAAGAATGCCCATTCAGTATTGAATTTTATCCAACATCTCTGTACTCTGTAGAGCATCCAATAAAGTTTTCACTACTCAAAAAACAAATTAAACGCCTTTTGTCTCTTCTGCGACATGAGATCCATATTCCACACTCTTTGGCTAAGAGTGTGACAGTGATATTTTTTTCTGATTTAACCCAGAGTGATTTGCTTTTTAGCCGTTATTTTTAATCTTGCTATTTCATGTGCGCAAGATAGTGGTATTGTACTTTGCCTAAACCAATATTTATTATTTCTTGTCAGAGAGCGCCACGTTCACGTATTGATACCTCATCCTTCTGATTGTTCCTAGCGTTCTATAAATTGTTGGATGTTCTCCATGGACCATGTCACTTGAAAAATTACTTGGATAAGAGATCATAGTTTATGAATCTTCAAATTTCGAAATTAGTCTTTCTTTCAATTGTTTGAACATAGATAAGTTTTTACACTCAGATTGCATGGTGATTAATTCCCGATTTTTCGGCTTTTCGATTCAAGACTTGGAATTGTGAAATATTCAAAATAATAGCTTTTGAAAACTGAAATGGATGCCTATTCTGCTTTAAAGATCGGGAATAAGTTTGCAGAAAGTTCCTAGATGAAGCAGGACAATACGTTTAATTTAAAGGTGACATGGCATTATAGCAAAAGTATCCATGAGACCGAACCCATTGTCTATTGTTAATACTACTGTTGAACAAATTTACCTAATCTTTAGTTTTAATCCTGACATTTCAGTATTCAGTTAATGATTTTGCTCTGCTTTATATTCATTATAGATCTTTATCGTAGACTTTATGTGAAAAATTCATTCGACAGCAACACGACGCTCGAAAATGAAAATGAGCAACTCCGAAAAAGGCAGTTTTTTCTCCTTACATACTAAAAACCAAACTATCTGGAAAGTGTTGTTAAAATTTCAAATTATTAGCTTATGAAGATGTCGCGGGAATGATTCTCTCACTCATTCGCTGACAAAAAATTCTTAACCGTATTTAGGAGAATTAAATGCTTAGGATTTAGAAAAAAGGAAATATTCCCTAATTAAACTTAAGAAACGCAAGCACTGCTCGATTTTTTAATATCTAAGTATCTTCTCAATTGGCTGTTTATAAATTATGTTCATTTGACTTCCTCTTTTCCGCTCTTCGTTGGTCAGCGATTGAAAGAGGACAGTAAAAAGGGTAGTTCGCAAATATCCTTACAGTATTTTATTTGTTGAGCTGACCGAACTATTGTTATGTTTGAATAATTTAGTTTGTTATTATCCTTTTCCTTTCCTTTAAATTATAAGTTTGAACATTATAATCACTCTGCTTAAACATTTAAATCATCCGTTTTTTATTTACCTGTAATTAATGCTACGTGCAGTCTTGAATACAGTTGTTCATTTGGCACTTACATTAGATAAAGACTACAGGCTAGAGAAAGCAGAACAGAATACGGATAAGCTGAATCAGGAATTGGAGAAATGCGAGAAAAAATTTAGAGATTTGGAGCAACAAACTAATGAAACCATTAAAACACTAAGAAATCAACTCACTTATCAGGTAAAGTATTAATTTCATCGTTTAACTGTCCATCCTAATTGCTATCAACACTTCAGTATTCTTCAGTATTAGTATTAACGTAATAAGGTCGCTATTATGGAAAATAGCATCTTCTCGTGTTGTATCGGATTATCTTATGGATACCATGATATCTTATGGATCCATGGGAAATGTTTCTCTCATTTTTCTCATCTTCAGTTTGGAAAAGTATGGAAATTTGATCTTGATGCTGAATTTCTAGTTAAAATATAACTTTGCGTTTCAAACAATTTAAAAAAAAAATGAAATCTGTTTAACATTTGCATGCGTTTTGGTTGTTAATTTGCAAAAAAATATGCTGAAGAAAGATATAAATGAAATGTGCAGGGTAACAGAATTCATCAGCTGACTAACGAACTCCGTGAAAAGACAACACAAATAACTAAATTAATGACTCAGGTAATGATGCTTCATTTCTCGCCTATTCGTTAAAAATAGTTGATGCAGGGGTCTGTGCAAAGTGAAATCCATCATAACTGATAGAAATTAGAAATTTCTGAATTAGAAATGGTTGATAGAAATAGAAATTGATCTTTGAGTTTTCAAAATTTATTCTTAAACCTTTACCATAGAATCAAAGCCTAAACAGGACTTCCATAGTTCAGAAAAGTTGACTTTAACTTTAACTCCATGTAATATTTTTTTGAGTGCCTGTAATTATGACCCTTAACGCTGGCCGACCTGTAACTCTGTTCCTGATATTTTATAACTGTACTCTTACTTTTTAATATTTTAAAAGCTGATTTTTAAGAGTTACACAAATTGATGCCTTTAAGCTCCCATTTGGAACGGTGGTTGAGGCAACTGAAAAGGAGGCTCTTCCTGGTCGAAATCATTTGCGTTCACAGCCAACTGTTCGTTGGAATCCTGCTCCAGCATCATTTTTTGGTAAAAAAGACAATAATTTGCCACATACGGGTTTAATCCGTAATGCTTCGATAATTTATCCAAGCGGACGACCAAACGTTGTCGCACAAAAACACAGCTGTACATCTTCAACGTAAGTCTATCCTCTTTTCAGTTTTGCAAAATGACTTTCAGAGCAATGACTTTTTGCAGACTCCAAATTTTTAGTACTTCCGCGGTGTTAATCTACCGCGAAACGAGAGGCTCACTTGGTTTATTGCTTTGCATATTTCAAAACTAAATCTTGTTTGCAGGTCACGTTCACATCATCTACCATCGTTATACTTGAAACCACGCAGCGTGTCATCGTCGGGACATAGTATCGAGAAGCCAACACGGTTACAGATGCTAGGATTACATGATCGGATGTCGCTTACCCGTTCATTATATGAAATTCGAAATTCTTGTATTGCGAATAACACCACATCGTTAAATTTCACGAATTCTAAAGTTTTGACTTCGATGGATGAATTGATGCAAAATACGGTATAGTGAACGTCGACTGAGGATAAATATACAAGTTAAATATACAAATATATAGTGTTATCCGTTATTTTATGCGTATTCTATTATTCAAAATATGTCGCGAAATCTTATATATAAACCCGTAAATTGCTACAGTTCCATTTGTTTTATACACCCGCATTTGTACGTCAAAACATACTCGTGAAGTGCAAGCATATTGCATTAAAACGAGTAGTGAGATTCAACATCTCAAGTTGTTACTTGTGTCAAATACAATGCTGAAAACTGCTTCAGTCGTTCATTGTGTCAGTCGATTTATTCACTAAAAATGAAGTGGAAATCGCTTTACTCGGAATCTGCTTTGGAGGTCGACAACAATAAGGATTTTATCAGTGTTGTAGAATAGGTGAAAACCGGAAAATAACATGGGAACAGTCTACTACTAAATCCTTCCAAGATTTAAAAAAAATATCCGCAAAAAAACAAAAAAAACACAGAAATATCCACATAAATCTTGAGAGGAACAAATTAAAGAAGTCGATATCAAAGTATTCAAAAAAAAAAGGACAGTTTGAGTGATATAAAAGCAGAGTGAGTGATAAACGCTTCATTTTTGGAGTAGTGCTTTCTGTCTGATGGAAGCTTAAAAGCAATTATTTAGTAAACAGCAATTATTTGACTGGAAAGTGGCAAATATTATTCTGCAGACATCGAGTTTGTTAACCGTAACAATATTTTATACTACTGTCATCTTTTTCCTTCTAACGTCAACTAATTCGGAATGGAGGCATGTACACTTGTCAAAATAGAATACATTCTCCGTTTGTTTTTTTTAGTGGAAATAAAGGGTACTGCTTTCTTAAGTAAAGCACTGACTGATATCTACCCCTTACTCAAACTACATGTAAGTATTAGCGAATTAGAAATATCTGGCAAAGTCCAATATTTCCTTATCTGAAGTTTTACTTATTCTGAAATTTCAAATAATAATGTTATTTTGAAATCACACCAAACAATTGCTTTGAGTACTTCTCAAGTTTGAACCACAACTTAGTGTGACAAATTGCCGTTGCCATTCGTTGTTGGAGAAAACACGAAGTTTTTGCTCTGAGAAGTTTATTGTTTCGAAGCACAAATTTTTTGCAAATAATGTCGTTCCTGCCAACAATCGGTCATCTTTCCTCATCGTTTATTGCTATTTTCATTTCTAATTTCAGCCATATGCTTTTCTACTTCAGCTCATTGCTACATGTCTCCATCTTCCGCTATTGTTTCATTCTTGATTGTTTTAACCGATTCACCTTTCGTTTGTGCTCCTCCAACTACCATATGTCCTTCAAACAATCAGTGCTTCTTGCTTCGTCTCAGCTTTTTATCTTCTGAGAATTCAGTTGAGGGCCAAATCAAGTGTATGCAAGCTCCTAAACACTTTTTGAGCATCAGTAGAATTTTCTATCTCAAGACAGCAGTAACATCCCCCACAGGCTTCAGTAATTGCTTTACGGGACCGTGTTTCACGAACATTCGTTTTAATTCGTCAGTATTAACTTGTTATTAAATTTCTGACGATAATCACATTATTACTTTGTTTTGCTGCAGGCCTTGAAAAATATCCAGACATACACCATTAGCCAGTAGATACTCCCGAGTTTCATTGACTAGACGTGTTTCTGCCAAGTGCTAGACGTGCACCAAGACTCTATGTCCAAGTAACAAATCCAATTTTTCAGCCAACCTTTCAGCAACTGCATTAGCTCCAAGGAACAATGTGTTCCACGAATGAGACTTTCCAGCATCCCTCTTGAATTTTGCAATTCCACTTTCTGAAACACTGATTTATAAGTAAAGCCAAGCCATTCTTTCCCATTTCACGCTTCTCTTCCCCAGGCAACATGTGAAGCATCCTCACCTTTCAAATGGAACTAATGCTGAGAAAGCTGCAAGCAGCAGATTCTGGAAAAACATATCACAATAGCGAATCCCTTAAATTGGCCCGTTTTATTGTTAACAATCACTTGTGTGGTCTAAACCGGTATCGCAGGTCTTCATTACTGCAGACATATGGTAGAATTCAGACGAAGAGTCTCCCAGTTCCAAGGATCTTTGCTATGGATGTTTCAACCTCTGCTTCTCTTGTTTTGTGAATATAACCTTCCACATCTCCATCAGAAACTCGATTACTCGACACTGTTGTTACTTCCAGCATGGAACCACCAAAAAATTCGTTCCGCCGTAGTGCCTCTCTAATACCAAACTATTGAAAAAGTGTTGTAAAAGTAATAACTTCAGTTAAGCCACGTACAATTTTTATCCCTTTCAACTTGATAGGACTGAACCAACCTTTGATCCTTTCCGCTTTATTCTAAGTTTACAAGAATTAGTATCTTTATGGAGCGCACATTGGTATAGCGCTCTTTGTTAGCGCAAATGTAAGACGATGTAAGCATTTAACACAAAGATGTTTGGCTTTCAACAAAAGGGATTATTGTTCCTTTGTGTTCCACTCACGATATCAGCGACAACCATAGGCTGAACAACTTCGGGAGAACAGCGATATTAATTACGAAGAGCAAACCAATTCAAAATCAAGTATATAAATCCTTAAGCACAATAAGCTCTAAATTGTTATGCTTAACAAGCAGTTTTTTAGATATACGCAGCAGATATTATTTTAATTCAGTAGTGCCAATTTATCATGCCTGATAACAGTCTTAAATTTGTTCAGTGTCTTGCTTTATCCTGTTATCATCACCATAAATTAATAAAATGGGATAACCAATGACCGATATGCAGAATACGGTCCAACATTCACATCTAACGCTGCCGATGTGCGAAATCCCCTTCTCTCTATTCAGCCTGTAAAGTTTTTAAAGTCCAGTACATAACATACTCTGTTTTACTAATTTCGTTTTCAAATGTCGGTCCTGTCAGTTTTACAATCTAATATAAAAAAGGTATCATACACTTGGCTTTCCTGATATCGCGCTACCTTTTTAGGATTCCTTTTAAGTTACATGAAATTGATCGTATAGAAATGTTCAACTGGTAATATAAATAATGTATCTGCACAGTTTAAACACAAATAACGGTAATCATACTGCAGCAAACCTTGTATTAATTATTGCATACATTCAGTGACAAAATATACAGAAAAACATACGATATCCACCAAAAACTTTATCTTATTTGGCGATATATTTCATTAAACCGAAGAATTGGGCGTATCAGAAAAGTTGCGAATGTAGTGACTCAAAACTTCCTTGGCATGCTTAATTCTTCGGCTTAATTGAATATAAATTAACTTGTAAAACTATCTTAAAATACCTCTATTTGAAATTCGTTATCCTACAAAAACAGAAGGAAGAAGATATTAGTCCTGATTTGCGTGTCAAACTCCTGTCACATTTGGATGTTAACCACAATGCAATATCCACTTGCAGAACCATTCTTTTATTCACAATGAGATTTGCAATTATCATATGTATCAATAAACCCCACTTGTTATCGGGAAAAGAGAACGCCCGAGCAATGGATTTAAAACTGCGAAACCAAAAATCAAAATTTTGTAGGTTCTACAGTTAATTCAACTTTATCCCAGCTAAGAATTGCAATTATGAATTTAATCCAGCAATAAAGATGCGGTCCAGCTCATAATACTTCTATAATAATAACTCAGACATATGAAACTTCTGGTAAAAGAAATAGTTTTACTAGTAGGAACTAGTAAAACTGCCATTTACTGACCAATTTTGTATTCATGGCAAAAACGACAAAATGAATCTTCAATTTTCTATCTACAGGTGAGTTCTGGGCCTTAGAACTTTTCATCGCATCATTTTTTGGCATACAGCATACCTTTTCTCGCAGAAACTGGGATATAGATATAGGTTTGAATTTCTAATTTAAACAAGAAACCGAGATGTTCTGCAAAATGAAACAATTTACATTACATATAGACTAAGTTAAGCACACAGTATTACAGAAATGAGAATAAAATTATCGACTCAGAAGAATACACACTGTAGAAAGTGATATATTTCCCCATTCTAAAGTTTTAAAAACTAGAAAAATTCAAATTTGCACCAAAGGCATAGAAGAATTTTCATGAAAATCTTGCTGTGAACTGATTACGGCGTTGAGCCATTGTGTCCTCAAAGTAGCCGCGCGAAATGCAACACAATAACCCATGTTTTTCGATTTGTACTTGAAATTATCATCTTTCGGTAATATAAATGTGAGAGTGTGCGGATAAGGTGGCTTACGACTACTCTCATGTCCGGCGTACCATAGTATATCGTCCGTATGCCACTCATTCACTTTTTTCAAACCCTGCAAAAATTGAAGCTATACATAATCTGTTACATTTTGAGTTTACAACGCCTATCACAATAAATCAGGGCAGGAGGTTTGAAACTTTACTGTTCAGCTCCTGGCTATGAACTGGATCAGTTAGTAAAGTATTTCTCAACCAGACAGGAGCAAAGTAATCAAGGGGTAGAAATGAGATTATATTAATGTTATGGTGAGTTGTTTAAATGGTTCAAATAGCGAAGTATCATAAGTCGGATTTCAGATGGAAATTATCACTTAAGAAACAGTGAAGTAATTTCCACCACTGTCAAAATTACCATTATCACGTAAAAAATTGAAGATTGCAATAATTTCAAAGGATTTAGGCTAGCTAAAAAAGTGATATTCTCTCTCCAGATTTACTACATCAATGTAATTCAACATGATTTCACAATGATATATTTACCGCACCTTATTATAGTAAGCAACTAATCCACCCTCTAATTTCAGATGACCAACACTGAACGATTTTGCTCCTTGCTCCGCAATTCTCACATCATCGGCAAATGGATATGAAAGCTGGAGAGAAAAGATTATTGTTTAATTAGATACTATAAAGTGTAGTAGATGTTACCAAATTAAAAGAAGTAAAAAAGATGAAATGATTATATGACTTTTTGTTTTCCTGGATCACCAGACGTAAATCTATCACTTTTTTACAACCTTAATTATCTCCTGAGTAGCAGGCACCTCCTACATCCAATCATAATTTATTTCCTTCAACTTTTCAAAACAAAGCAGTTCATCTATAGAAGCCTAAATGCATCTTATTAATTCCGACTCACTCTTAGTACACGAGCCAATTACAATATACTTATGTAGACTCGTCTTTTAACAAATAAATCATGCCAATGAACTGAATCCACTTATACAAACTTGCCATAGTTTCCAATACAATTCGGGACTTTAAGTACCACTTCAAGACATTCTTTTGAAACCCAAGCTACATGTGCAAGAAAGCCCATGCATTCTAAACTTTTCTTGTAAATTTTATAGGAATATATCTATGTAATTATTTAAATGGCAGATATATTCTATAAGAGGAGCTTAACTCGGCCGTTACAAAAATTAACCCGAAATGAATAAGGAATAGGATCTCTCTTAAATAGAAGAAAGCATTCAGCAGGTTCCCAGTCAAGCCATCTGCCAGTAATCATTGAGCTCATTTTCTCAGGCGGATTCACGCGCCTTTCCAGTTGACCACATTTTATTTCCTAAAAAAATATTTTAATACCAATCAATGTTATTTGAAGCCTTCTAAACGATTAATCGGTTAAAACGAGTAGTTTTCTTTCAATGATTAATAATAAGTGGCTGCCATACCTCAAACAGTGCAAAATGATTTACATCAACCTCATTACGAACAGCTGGTCTGTTTCGAGCTGCATCACAGACCTGCAATCATAATCGACATAAAAACTTCAATTACAGTAAAAATATTAAAACCGCGATTTGAAAAGTTTCAACTGCATGGCCAGTACTTTAAATAATAATGCTCAAAATGCTCACTTGTTCCGCATTCGAAGATGATTGCACATTGAATGTATGATTATCTTTCTCAAGAATATGTACAGGAACAAGAAAACCATCTGCACGGGCCTGAAATCCAGTGCACAAACTTTGGCTTTGTTAAAATTGAAATTTAAAGAAATGAAACTGAAAAAGTGATTTCAAAACCTTCGTTTGATTTGACTTTTCCTGCAACATATTTATTTTCGATTTTATAATCATTTCACGTGCTGAAATACGGAATATAGAAGCATAATAAGTGAGAAGATCCTTGACAAGATTCACTTGCTGTATTGTGGTAGTAAAGCTGTTATCTACTCCATTACCCTGAAATTTAAAGTTCATTTATGGGAAATCACGAGAAATCTAGTTTAAACATATCACAGAATGAAATGGCAAGGATTGTATAGTAGAGAAGAAAGGGGGAACATATTGCTATAACTCATTAAGCAGTCAGAATTATCCTAGGATGTAGTGGATTAAACAAAATAATATGCAAACAAAATTTAACAAAATAAGTTACTGAACAAATTAGTTTATGTTTTCAGAATACTTAATACCGCTAGACGCACAGAAGGGCAACAATCATAAGATAGACTGAACTAAAAACCGAATAATCTGTAAATATGAAAGAAAAGAGATAAAATTAAAAATAAGACAAAAAACCTGCTCAACCGAAAATAGTGTTGGTCCAAAAATTTTCGCAACATTTTCGATGGTTGCTAAATTTGCATATGCCAGTTCAGTAACATCTTTTAAATGGTCAAGGATACGTCTCAATGTTTGAATGCGTATTCGTGGCAAACCCATCAAAATTTCATGATATTCATCTAACCTAGCTGGATCTGAAAATGATTCTCAATTCGTCAAAATTCTGATTCAAATGAAAAACATTATGAACCTGATACCTTTCAAGCTGGCAACAGCGAAAAGTCGATCTTGAATATGATACGGAACAAGTGGAGAATCAAGTTGTCTGAAAAACGATCGGAGTACATCAGCTACTACATTGATCATATCACCCGATCCAGGCAACAAATGCATATTTACAGGGTCTGAAATTGTAACGCATGTTAACCGAAATTATATTATTTCTAGAATAGGCAAGAAAAAAGATATGAAAAAACATCGAAAGTAATGGAACAAATATTGAAAATTCATATATTTATAGATTTTTTTAAGGCACAAAATTTAAGAAAACCTTTTCTGAATTCAGCTAGGAGTGAACGAACTTCAAAATTTGGACCGTTTCGACGATACAAACCTGGCTGAAGAAGACCATAAGTGGAAATGAACTTTATACACCTGCAAAATAAAATATGATTTCTTATCATGAAAATGTCATAAACATCAATAATAAACAACCAATTTTGACAAGATTTTAACTGTCTGATGAAAACAAGAAAGCTTATCCACCTATTTTTCTTCTGAAACTAACGATTTATCCCTTGTCAAATCCAAAAATGTTGACAAGCTTACTTATCAACAATAACAGGAACATCATCTGATGTTAGCTTTGAGTCCTCCAACCGATAACCACTACATTCCATCTGATGATTCAATAAATCAATCCATGTTAAAGTAGCTGAATCATACTCCGCTTGCACGAATAAAGAACTATAAACAAGAACGGAAACTGCAAACTCCGATTTTTTATTTCTGTTCTTTAATTTCTCTCACATTTAAAAAATATATTCCGAATTAAATAATCTACAGATTGAAAATGAAGATTTCAAAATTTCTCTTACTTCGAAAAAAAAACAAACCCGCCCTCCTGTAACAAAAGGAATGGTCCTTTCATCGAACCAACAACCGATGCACACCAATCAATTTTGCTAAGTGTACTTTTCATTCCAATAAATTTACGTACATCAAGTTCAAACAATATGGCACAACCATCCAACGCGTAATATAATTTATGCTACAAGTTTCTTCAATTAAGACAAAAAATCTGAAAATTAATGGGTATCTAAAGTCTTTATAAATGCTAATGCAACTACATTTCCTGGGACTGAAACAAGAGTTCACTAACTTCATCGAGAAACATCCAACCGCTTGACCAGGCGCACGCTGTTCCTTGACGTATCCATACGCTACCTCCGGCACACAGATTTCTTACACTGTACAGCAACAATTCATTCTTCGGCATGATACACTACAAATTTCCATGAATGCTCTCATTATAAGGAGCTGAACTAAATGATTTCTTTTGCTGAATTGAAGATCAAAAACCACCTACTTTTACAATATCCAAAATCCATTTTCTCACTTCAGCAACCATTTTGAGCTTAAGATTTGTCCAGTGACTGCATAAAAAATTTTCCCGAACATGTAAGTCAATAGCACCGTTTACTGGATTTTTTCCAACGTACAAAATGTTTTTCAGATAGTAGGGACCCACTGCAGGATTGCCATCCTAAAGCTTTATTGTATACGATTATTGCATGCAAGGATGGTTTTTCTCGAATGAGATTAAGACTAAAATTCCAACAAATTTGCAACGATTATAAAAACATGAGAAAAAAATGAACTTTTCATTTGATACTTTGCAAGGTAAAGTAAATCAACTTTACCGATTATTTGATTATTTTTATTTTATAAAGATTGAAATTTATCATCGTTGAATTTGTTTAGGTCGAACTCAGATGAATCTGGATCGTGCAATTAAAACTATTAAATAAATTTTATCATATCTGATTTTAGTGGTCAGTTAGAAACTTTTGGGTAACGGATAATTTTTAGCAACTAAAATTCGTTGCTACTGTTCTTAAATCAGCGATTTTTTCTTGCCAATTTTTTTAAATGTTATATATAGAACTTTAGAAGCCTATTAATATTATTGATAATTACAGATTTCAACCATCCTTTTCAAATATCTGATATATAATTCAACTTTTCTGCAGGTTTCGATTGGAGAACCTAAATATTTCTCTTCACTTCACGTTAGTTTTGTTTGTTCTATTTTTCTCCATTTTTCTGGACAGTATTCTATATTTCTTGTGTACACATGTTTCTCCGAATAACGCAGACCGAGTTTACCCTGATCAACCTTTCAATGATTTTAATTTATTGGCTAATATTATAGCTTTGGTGTACTCTGATCATGTCACTTTCAGAACTATAACGAAAAAATGACTTAAATTTATACTTTATCATTAGAAGCCCAGCCAGCCAAAGCGCCTTGTTCGACAACAATCCACAGTTTACCATAATCTTTCTTGCAGACGATGACTTCAGCCCATGCCGACAAAAACAAGTTATGTCCTAAAATGTCTTGGCCATTCGTCTTCTTGCTCCTTTTCCAAGAATGTGTAATCATGGTTGCTGAGTTTTGAAGACTGCCAACATCAGAACATTTGTCGGAAGAATCGAAACTTCTTTCACACCTGAAACAAACTAGAAAACTTAAGTGAAGACAATACTATGATATGCCACGAAAATAACAACCCGGAAAACCTCTCAGTAATTACAACCATTAAAATATGACACCAGCCACTAACTCTACTGATATCTTATAAGCTATTAAAACTTGGATTAGTGCATAAATACACTTGCGAGTTTATTAACTACATTATAGTAATTATAAACATACACAAATAAGAATTACTATAAATATGAACTTGACCAAAATTTCAACAACTGATTTTATAGAGGGATACTTCCGAACCTCCAGAATACTTAAGATGTGCGCATAATATATATGTAACTATGAACAAAGCCATTTAAGAAATTACCCATTATTTGACGAGATACCATCATGGAACAAATCCACCATTCTCGAATATGCTTCAAGACCAATATACCCTGAGTTCCATAAGCCGTTCCGTGGAACATTCTCTGAATCGGAGATTACCGAAATATTACCGTGACCTTTCTTCACAGCATCCGAAATAGTGCTATCTTCCGGCAAATATTTTGATCTTTTAGTTACAGAGGAAAAATTACGCTTTGCTAATAAAGTGATATTTACTAAGGAACCTTTCTACTCACCTACTGATCTTATTGTGCAAGTTGTATTTCCAGAAATTGTTGAATCCAGCATTTTTGCAATCCTTGCAACGCGACCTCGTTCCACAGCTTCTGAATTCAATACTTCATTTGATGTATTTCTAGAATAGTCAGTGTTCTGAATGCTTGATGAAGCAGATCTTTTAATATTTGTTGTAACCGCCTTTCGGATAGCAGATAAAGATTTGACACGACGAAGATTATAAATTGATAAATTTTGAATCGGTAAAACAGTCTGGTGCAACCAAGAATTTGGTATCCGTTTTGTTGAATCAGGTAAATTGACAAGAGGATTCGAAGTAACTGCCGGTTTTAGTGTACGATTTGGTACCGGTGGTTTCTGGTCGATTAAACTAGTCCGTGGTGCAGGAGTTGGACGATCCTGAGTCGACACCATATTTTTGTCATATCAGAAACATAATCAAAGGAAAAATATTCGCCAAATAATCAATTCCTGAAGTGACGATATAATTCTATTTTTAGCAAGAAAAATAACATTACTGTGAACGAAAACCGTTACCAAATTTCACAACGGTGACAAATGGATATCAGCGCTCGAGGACTACGATTTGTTTTCGAGAGGGGAGAGATGTTACATGACATTCTAATAAGTATATCTGTTTTGCTCAGTTGCTCACAGCTCTTCCGGTTACCACCTCAATGAGAACTGCAGACCGAATGAATGTACCACAAGGTTCATCGCTTTTGCATTTGTAATTTTGAAAAGACAGACCGATAATCGATACCTAAGTGTACCTGATAACCATTAAGTACACTCAAAGAATGGCTTATGGCCTAAGTACGAAAAACTGGAAAGACTGAAACATGGAAAGTGAAATATTTAGAAAAATATTTACAAATGCCAAGAGTCATCTCTTATGAATGTAACCTAAAGTTGTCATGCATACTTATATAAATCTTTCGAGATGAAAAATCATGAATGATCAATGTCATCGCTGTTTATTTAGTATCTTGAATCACTGAAAATTTTGGTACGACTAAAAAAGGCTAGTGACGTCTGAATATATATACAGTAGGAACCGAACTTTTGGATTTAAAATCAAGGAATTGAAATGGAAGGAACTGGAAAGTAAGAATCAATCAGTGCTTTGCATATTCATCCCGAAATGAACGAGAAAAATTTGAAAAAAAATCAATCAAATGGCTGCTAGCCACAATAAACAAGACCCTTTATACAAACATATTTACTTTTCATTTGCCATTAGAACCAACAAGGAATTTTACGAAGCGAAAATAAGTAGGAGCTGACAGGAAACCGATGAAGCTGAATTTTATAAATAAACAATGAATAATGGGAATAAGCCATAGATATTCAAAATATGAGAACTGATTGTAACACAGTATTAGAGAGAAGAGAAAAAAATTTCACTCAGATAAACGGGTTTAATCAAGCCTGTTTTATTTGGAAAAGGTAAACAGTAAAAAGGATCCCTTTCTCACTGCACGAAATCAATAAATGGGACCCATTTAACCTTGTGTAAAGGACAATAAAGTTACGGTACTCACCATGTGCTTGCTGCTAAATGGACGAGATGAAGCAGACGAAACTCTTTATATATATGTATATATATATATATATATATATATATATATATATATATATATATATATATATATATATATATATATATAT